GGCGCACCACCACAGCTTTTCCAGGTTGGCAGCAGCTGGACCTAATCAACCTGCTGGATAAAGCAATCAGGTAGAGAGAGAGCTCTGGGCAATGAGAGGCCTGCACTCTGACCTTGGGCCGCTGACACTGGGGACTTACGGGGAGAGGGGTGGATAGCATGTTGTTTCAGGCGGTCACGCTTGACCGGTTTTCTGCCTTTGAACTGAAGCAGGTGCAGTGCCCAGGAGTGGTGTGCTGTGGCCATGCCCCGTCAGGATAACTGGGCCTTTAGCACATCTACTTTTGCATGTTTTTGCCCTTTCAGAATGTTTCTGAGGAAGAGCTGTGACAATTTTTCTGATTACCAGTAAGGAAGCTTAGGTTCAGCAAAGACACAGACTGGGATTTGTGGCCAGGGGACAGTTCCTGGCTACTCAGGGCCGCTCACCACCTGATGGGCTGCCCATTGTCCACTGGCTCAGGGCCTTGCACAAACCAACCTCAGCATAGCATTCAAGACTGCTAGAAGCAGCAGCGGGCCCAGCCCTCTGCTCTTCCCTGCCAAGTGCAGCCCCATGCCAGCTCCTGGCATGTAAAGCAATTCGCCTTAACTGTTCACCTATGAACTAATTTTTCTATCTTTTCTTCATTTTCTAAACTGAAAGAATGAACATCTTGACGGAGAAAAGCCATTTTGAAACTGTAGAAGAGTGTAAAATAGCAAGTGAGAAGTTGTTCTGAATCCTGCAGTCTCACTACTGCAGACAGGGCCCTTCCAAAGCTTAGGAAATACGCAATCAGGAGAGATTTGCTTTGGTGCAAAGCATGTTGAAATCCACACAAACAAGGGCTCTCCAAAAAGCTACCCTAGATTTAAAATAAATTGACATTTTTAAACCATTTTTGCCATGAACTTTTTTCCAGTATTGCCGCATACATACTCACATGCGTGTCATTCGTGGGTATGTGTGTATATGGACACGCGGTGGGAGAGGAGATGACTGACTTCATAGAAAATGAGACTGTGTGATCCACACGGCTGCCTCCACTTCACATAAGATATGCATCACAGCCTTTCGAGAAGAGGGTTTTGAAGTTTAAGCATTCTAACAAAATTTTTTTGCGAATTTATTTTCTTATTGTATTTTTGTTTCAGACCCACTTGTCTATTTGAATGGTTGGGTGACAGAGAGAGGGAGCAAGGGGCAGAGAGATAACTTCTATATATTGATTCACTCCCCAAACGGCCACAGCAGTCAGAGCTGGGTCAGGCTGAAGCCAGGAGCCAGGAATCCCAACTGCGTCTTCCACAGAGGTGGCAAGGTCCAAACCATTTGGACCATCACGGCCTGCTTTCCCAACACATTAGCAGGGAGCAGGGTTGGAAGTGGAGCAGCTGGGATTAGTTTCCTATGCACCTGCTTAACCCACTACCTACAGATCGACTTTCTGCATTAAAACTTAGGCCACGTGCTGGGGCCCCTACACCTAGGGGGGGAGACCGGAGCCCCTGGTTTCATCTGGTTCATTCCTGGCTACTGCAACCACTTGGAAGGAATGAGTCAATGGATGGAAAACCTCTTCAGCCCTCTCTCTGTCATTCAAAATAAATAAAAACAAATCTTTAAACAAAACAGGGCTTCAAAGCAAATATTTGCTATTAACAAAAGTCCTCACAGCCTTCCCTTGGGCTCCTCTGCCACACTCTGTACCTTGTCTGCCCAAGGTCACACATGCTGTGTATGTTTAAAAAAAATCTTGATGGAATGAGTAAATTCCTCAAATTGTGAATATTTAATTTTTATCCTGTGAGAACTTCAATTTTTAATCTCCCTATTACTTCTCTGGTTCTGAGCTATTTTCGAAGGAGTCATTTTTGACTCATGTGAAGCAGGAGGAGAAGTATATACAGCCGAAGGCGGGTATATCCGTGCACTCTCAGCCTTCATGTCTTACAAGCACCGGAGCAAATCAATGACAAACACTGCAAATGCTGACTGGGAAACGTGTTTCCTTGTTCAGATTCCTGCCTGGAATCTTCCCCAAAGACACCAAACTCTTCTCATCTCCGGAACTGCAGGTTTCAAGCTTTAAGACAGGGGCAGGTATTGATTGGCCAATTGCTTAGGGCACTGGTTAGGACCTCATATCCCACCCATATCACAAAGCCTGTGCTGGATTCTCTCTCACACACACACACAGCCTTCATCTGCTATTTCATTGCTTAAATGGCCCAAAACCAGGAACCTAGAACTGCCTCTGGGTCTCCCACAGGGGTGCAGGGGCCCAAGCACTTGGGCCAATTTCTGCTGCTTTCCCAGGCATATTTGCAGGGTGCTGGACAGTAAGTGGTGCAGCTGGGACTTGAATTAGCTCCCTGTTATGAGATCCCAGCAACACAAAGGGTGACTTAAGCCTGTGTTATTAACACTGGCGACCTGTGTCCCGTTTTCAGCTCCATCCAGCTTCCTGCTAATGTACAATGAAAGCTTGATTGGCTCCTGCCACTCATATGGGGAAACAGATTGCATCTCTGTCTTCTGATACATGGCCAAGCAGAGTGTCTCTGAATTTCTCCTCTCCTCTTCTCCTCCTTTCCAAGCTAGTGGCTTAACACAACTGGCACGGTGTGGGCACTGCTCTGCCAGCTCTGGGCACTAGCAGTGTGGCGGACACGGGTGAAGGGCCTGGCCCAGGTGTGGGCAAGCCCTGCTCATGGGCTGATGGAAGACTGTCCTGGGCAGAGAGTCAAGCCAATGTGACTGTGGAGAAGGCACTTTCATCTTTGTTCTAAAGGCAGAACCATGAGAAGAGCAAAGTGCTCCTGGGAGTCCAGATGGGGACCCTGGCATCCAGTGTGGGTGCGGGTGTCCTCTGAAAACACACCTGTCAGTCCTGGAAGGGTCTTGGGGGTGCAGATGTCTGCCTTTCTAAGCTAGACAGCTCCAACAGACTCAAGTTCAGAGTTCGCACTCTCTCCTTACGGACAACCCACAGCCAAGTGTGAGCTCAAAGGTGAATGGATAAAGACACAGCAGATGCAAGCCATCGCAGAGCTGACATGGGTCCTGAGTGACAGAAGGGCATCCCTGCTCTCACTGCAGAGGTTGCCAAGGGCTGGGGCCAAGGAGCAGGGGCCAGCAGAGACAGCATTCTAGGGTGAGGAGCCCCCTGAGGAGTCCCTGTCCCTTCTGCTCCCCAGTGTACACTGGGGAACCCCAGCCCAGGTTGGAGGGGTGGTTCCCCCTTTAAGTGAGTGCTCACTCCCCAATACAATTCAATGTAGGTTCTCCCACACACCTTGGATTTTTCCCCGTTTTCCCCAGCACATGCAGCAAGAGCATCCCGGTGGCCGAAGTGCTCTGAGCTCCTAAGTGTTTTTTCCCCATTTCTCCCTCAACATGCTCCTGTCTGGGCGCTGTCCAGTCCTCCTCAGGGCCTGCAAAATCCATGCACAAGACAAAGATGGACAGTGCACTGGCTGCTTAGGAGGGACAGTGCCCTGGTCACCTGGGAGGGACAGTGCTCTGGTCACCTGGGAGCAACATTGCACTGACCACTGTGGTGCCTGTAACCCTGGGAAGCACAGGAGCGCATCCACAGTGTGGGGGGTCCAGCATTCCGTGGTGCAGAGCAAACCATCCATGATGGCCTCCTTGTCGCTTGTTGTGAGCCTGCGCCCCCAGCTGTCCAGGCCCACCCTGGAAGCCGTGGGTTGTACACAGTTCACACTCAGTGCATGCCTCTTTACCTAGGGGTAGGGAAAGCTGTACCTAGGGTCCCCAAAGAGAGGGTTCCCCCCCCCCCCCAGAATTTGCAGCCAGATTCCCTAATCTGATCACACTCCACAGGGGCACCCAGAAAGACACCTGCTGACGAGGTGATCCTTTTAAAGAGCTAAGTTGTTCCTAGTCCCCATTACAAAGGTGCAGCTTCCAGAGCATCCTGAGTCTCAGCCTATTCCACAGCCCTACAGAGGCACGGGGAGAAGGAGTGGGCTGTGCGGGGTAGGGGGGCACCCCTTGGGGGTCTCTCTCCTCCCACAGAGCTACAGCCCTGCCGGCTGCAGGCCAGAGAACACCATCCACGAGGAGCAGGGAGAGGACTGGAAACCCGGAGATGGGAGATGAGGAGCGTGGGACTGCAAATCTACTCAGGGTTTCGGGGCAGACTGATTCGCCCCTTCTCCCTACACAAGTTCACGGAGCCTCCCCCTCCATTGCCAGCTTCTCTCAGGAATGCCACAGCTGCCCCTTCTCTCAGCCAACTAACGCACTGGGTCCAACACAGGCGAGAGCTAAGTGTGCTCCCCAGGCGGCCAGGCAGGGGAGCCAGGGCATGCGGCCCCTAGCAAGCCAAGAGCCGCTGGGGAGGCCTGCTCACCAGTCAAACCCCGCGTGTAGGGGGAATCCCCGCAAGAGGGCAGAAGGAAACCCGGGAGGCCCGCGGGAGGCGGCCGTAAGCCCAGCTGCCGGGCCAGGGCCCTCGGGCGCACTCCAGGTGTCCCCGCTCGGAGCTGCACGAGTGGAGACGGAGCTGAAAAGACCCTTAGTTTCTCCCCAAGTTCGGCGGTGCACAAACGGCTCCTGGTAGCAGTGGCCAGGCCACAAGGGCTCGGACCGGCTGAGGACTGCGCCCCGGCCGGCTAGGTCTCCGTTCAGTCCCCTCCCGCCTCCCGGCCCGTGCGCTGCTCTTCCCCCACCCCTACCGCACCTACAGCAGCCGCCCACCGCAGCAGGGTCGGCGCCGCCACCGCGGGCTGCGGACAGCCGCGTCCGCCCGTGCTCCCCGCTGCCTCGAGGCTCCCCGCGCGCGGCCCGAGGAGTGAGGAGGGCGGCCCCCGGGACGCGCCCCTGCAGCCGGCGAGGCCGCCGGCCGAATTGGCCAGCAGCAGCGGGGCCCTCCTTCCGTCGGTCTTTCCCATTCTTCCTCCTCCAACCTCCTCGGCCGCCCCCCGCCTCCAGGCCGCCCCCGCTGCGTCGCCTCCCCAGGCCGAGCGCGGGCGCGGAGCGTGGGAGCCATGGCGCGCGAGGAGGAGGAGGAGCGGGACCCCGAGTGTTGGGAGGCGATGGCGGCGCGGGCGAGCGGCGAGGAGGAGGTGGTGGAGGAGGAGGAGGAGGGGGGTGGGGAGGAGGAGGAGGAGGGGGGTGGGGAGGAGGGACTGAGCGATAGCGACGACGAGGGCGACGGCCAGGAGGAGCCGGGCAGCGGCGCGGAGGAGGAAGAGCAGCCGGAGGAGGAGGAGGAGGAGGCGGTGGCCGGTCGGGCGCGCAGCGAGGACGCGCGGCTGCTGCGCGCAGGGCTGCCTCCCGCCGCCGTCCCCGCCGCGGCCGCCCACCTCAGGAGCGGCCGGGGCCGCCGTCGCCGCCCGCCGGGGCCGCCGCTCGGCTGCCCGAAGATGCCGCCGGCCGCCGACGAGGACCGCGCGCTCCTCCGCCGCCGGCGTCGCCGCCGGAGGGACCTTCTGCTGAGCCAGCTCTGCTTCCTGGCGTCGGTGGCGCTGCTGCTCTGGTCGCTGTCGAGCCTACGAGAACAGAAGGGTGAGTGGCCGCCGCTTGCCCCGAGTGGGCGCTGCGGTTCCCGCGGCTGTGGCGGCCGCTGGGGCGCGGGGCTCGCCGTGCGGGGATCGGGGTGCCGGGTCCTCCCAGGACGCCGCCCCCTTGCCCCTGGCCGCGGGCTCGGGAGGCGGCGGCCCTCAGAGCCCGGAGCCCAGAGCCGGCGCGCTCGCTGCCCCTGCTTACCTGCGCCCCTCGCCCCTGCCCGCCTTTCCCTCAGGCGGGAGGGTCTGGGTGGCACGGCGGGGTGGAGCACCCGTCTCCCTGCCCCAAGTAAGGCCCCCCGCGGCCAGCCGTAAAGTTGTGCGGATTAAGACCGGGCACCTGTGCGGTAACCACCTGTGCGCGCCGGCTCCCTCCGAGGACCGAAAGGGGCGGTTGGCTGTGGGAAAGCTCGGCTCTGAATGTTCTGTGGTGGAAGAGGCGGCGTGCTTCAGCTGGAAGCTCCCGAACCGCCTTTCCGGAACACAGGTGCCGGAAAATTGGCATAGGAGTTGGAAAAAAAAATGTCTTGGTCACCCCAACCGGGGGCTTCACGGTGGTCCTGGTCCTGGCCGGGGTGGAGAGTGGGGTTTGCGCCCCTGTAGCTGTGGGAGAGATGTTGCAAGCCCTGGGACTGTACCCCTCACTCTGTCCTCTCCCTTCCTCATGCCAGGTCTGTCCCTTAGCCACAACTTTTCGCTTTGTCCCTGTCCATTGCAATGGCCCTTGTGGGGAACAGTTGTCTGCTAACTCCGAGGTGGGGGTGGGGGTGCAGAGGCAGCCGGCTTGCAGGAAGAAGTGGTGTGCAATTGGGGGGGGGGGTCACTCCCAGCCGGCACGGTTGGAGGGGAGACAGCTGTGGAAATGTTCATGAGCAAACAAACAAACAAAAACACAACTACACAAAAACAGTGGCTGACCTGTGCTGTACCTATTACCCGACCCAGCTCCAGCACAGGAGGTGTGGGGGGCGCACACTCTAGAGGCATTTTGCTGGTGGTGCTAACATAGTTGCAAAGGCCATCCTCTATTTCACAAGGGGTTCCTCACCCTCCTGTGCTTATTAGCTGTGGCTGGGCTGGGGCTGGATGCTGAGCCAAGACGGGCCTGAGGTCTCAGCAAACCCCTGCAAGGACTTCATCATATATGGTAAGAAGGATAGAGGCTGGCTGGGGCTTCAGGGAAAGCGGCCATTGGCATCGGGAAGGGGGCTGTGGAGGCAGGATTTCTCTCCTCTTTCTCTCCCACCCACCCGGGGCTTGCAGGCCTCAGCGGGTAAAGACTCCCCAGGCAGCTGGTAGAGTACATGCTGCCTTTGGCCATGACTGTGCCAAGTCACTTAGGGTGCCCGCCTGACTTGCCTCCATGCAGGAACTCTGTGAGTCACAGGGTTGCCGTCATTTTGCCGACGTGGAATGGATTTATTTCCCTGGATGGAGAATGTACCTTGGACAGTTGAGTTGACCAGCAGCGGAGCAGCGGGGGGCTGCCTGCTTGCCCCCCCTCAGCCCCCATCGGGAGAGTTAGGGTTTGGGGTGGACAGCGAGGACACTCTACCAAGTGGACACCTGGGGACCAGAGGGTTGTTTTGCAGTGGTTTCTCTGGCAGTGGCATTTGTGTTCACCTGTCACTTCAGGTGTGGGTCCTTCCTGCCATGCTTGCTTCACTCCTTCCCACCGACATGAGGCTTGAGAACCCCCAGCGCCCCCACCCCGTGGAGACTGCCAAGGAAGATGGCAGGCAGACCCTGTGGCCCCCAAAGCTGTGCTGTTAGTTGCTCTTCTATGGCCAATCCTCTTTTCTTCCATTCTGTATAAATGATCTCCTTGCCTAGTGAACTAACCGCATTTTGCCAGGAGCGGGGGTTTGGAGATAATTCTGATTAATCAGTGCGTGTGAATTGGCATGCGATGGTGCTTGGAGAATGATTCGGCTGACGTCAACATTTGGAGAGCCTTGGGGACCACCCTGCTTTGTGGTCCTTTGGCGCGGACACAGTGGGGGCTTTGGCCTTGTTTTCAGGACATCCTGACTCTGAGAAGCCAGGTGGCCAGCTTGGGGTCACACGGCAGTGGGAGAGGGGCCACCCAGCCTGAGGTGACCCGGCCCCTTGTTCACTGTGCAGGCCCCACCTGGGTGTCCCATGCTGATTTCTGTTATCCCATGGCAGGGCCTTCCTCGCAATCCGGGTGGGTTGTACTGACTGGCCCTGGAAGCCGCATGGTGGTAGCTGGATGTGACTTCTCGTGTTCTGATATATCCCGATCCTTTTTCTAAATACTTTCCTTCCCATCGGTGTGGCAGCGCTGTTGTGGAGCCCTATAGAGCTTTTCTGACCCTATGGAGTCCAGGCTCCCCTCTTGACATCCATCCTAGATCGGACTGCATGCAGAAAAGTTTCACTTTTCCACCCCAGGGAGGTCTGGCATGCAGTGTATGCATCTGGTTGCAAAAGGAATCCGCTCTTGGTCTTCTCTGCTTATACCCAAGCTGAGGGCTTACTTAGGCCAGCACTCAGCAGAACCCAGGAGAATGTTCTTTGGAACAGCAGCAGAAGCCCAGACGGCTGCTAGCGTTCCCTGGGCTCTTGGGGGCCGGAGGCGGGCTGGGGTGCCCAGTGCACCTTCTGTGCATGACTCTGCCTGATGTGCAAATGCCGCTTTCCGGCGTGTGCGTCTTCAGCAGTCGGGGGAAACGTGGAGGAGCCCCTGGTGCCCTATTTAGCAGCTGCAGATGAAGATCTCGTGTTTGATCTCTGTTTTCAAAGCCAGTTGAAATAAAGTGTTAGATTTGCAAGGGCTTTCTTTTATTTTTTTGCAGTAAGGATGGATTACTTTGGTGTGTTTTGAGTGGTTTCAAAGTGTTTAATTTTTCTTTTGCATAAACCGCTTGGTGCTCACGCTCTTTTCCTGCAGAAGTGGTATGGATGAATCCCAGGGGTTGTAGCTCAGAAGTAATCACAGGTACTTTTTTCTAGAAGGTTCTCACAAAAGTGAAGCATGATTAAGAAAAAGGCACACACAGTCTCTTCAACACACACACGTTCTGCTCTCTCTCACACACACCCACTCATGCATTCACTCACAAACAATATGCTTACACATGATATAGTCACACACAGTGACACACACCTACACTTGTAAGCACACAATGTGCTCACACACAGTGTAGTCAAACACATACACACATGCAAAATGTCTAGAGAAAGGAGCTCAAAGGTGATTCATTTTGGTGCATTTTTTTTGAAATCCAGGCAGATTTTTCTTAATGAACATGTTCCATAAATTTTCTGAAGACTCCTCCATGCATGGATTTCAACACTTTTTTTTTTTTTTTGCAGCAAAATGACTTTATCTTTTCAATTTATTTTCCGTGAACTTTTTTTTTTTCTGAAGTAGGACTTTGGGTTCATTTCTGTCACTCTTGCCGCACATAGCTTGCCCCTAAATTTAGTGTCATTTTATGTTCTTGCTCTTGGATGTTTTGGGCAGGCATTTGGACAGGGAAGAGTGGGCAGGGCTAGTCGGCCATGCTATGTCTGGGTCTCCTCTGGAAAGGTGTTCGAGGGCAGGATGTGGCATTTTGGGGGGGCAGTGTCGCTGCTGGGAGTTGGGGGTGGGTGCAGCTGGTGCTCGGAGCACCTGGGATCGTGGCTTCATATGCAGGCTCACCATGCAGCTGAGTTTGAACTTCCTGAGAACGTGGCCAGCTGGGTGCCTGAGAGAGCTCCTGGCATTATGATGTCCTGGCCTCAGGGGTCACACTGTGGCACTTTGTTCTTGGCTGGGCCAGGTGGTGACACGTCATGGAGAGGGCCTGCAGGCTCACAGTGTAAGCAGTGTGAGTGCAGGGAGGTGCTGCAGGGATTCTGGGAAAGTCAGACTCTCAAGGGAGCATCAGCAGGTGCTGCTGGATGATGATGCACGGATTCCTACAGATACGTGTAGGAGTGTTGTCTCTGATGTCCCTTCTAGCCATGGAGACAGTGCTGCTCTCTGGCCTGGTGGTGGTGGTTGGGGGTCCCGACTGGTGTCTAGCAAGAGGGCTGTAGCAGGTACATGGGGTGCAAAATTGTAGTTGCAGGTGTGAGAGCTCACCCTGGCCTTTGTGTCTACGTGGTTTTCCATTCCTCAGAGCACTGCAGGTGTAGCCCTGGCTGGGAGCAAGGCCCGGCTGGCCTCTCTGGCTTTTTCCTCCCCTGTCCAGCTCTCCCTGTCTGTTATGGCTAGTCACTGCTGGACTTCCAGGTCCCGCCCCCACTGTGCTCTCCGATCCTTTGTTGGCAATTTTGTATTTCTTTGGTCCCTATGTAGCTTGAGACAGGAGGTCAGGGTCCCTGTGAACTTCCTTACTCTTGTCACTCGGGGAGTCCCATTCCAAAGGAGAAGCTCAAGGGAAGGCTGTAAGTTTCAACAGGAAGTTCATGGAGGAATGCAGAGAAAAGAAGCTTAGTTTCATGCGAATGAATGTTTTTGGAAATGCATGCATAGGTTTTGCATCTTACCATTTCCCACCTGTGATATCTGTTGTTAAACGAAGACTCCCTTTAGAGTCCTAGACTGCAGGGCCTGTGATTAAAAACTAACGGCAAAGCAGCACTAGCAAATTAGGTGTTGAGCTGGAGGAAGGGCTGGGGCAGGTGACAGGATTTGAACCCAAGCCCACCCGTTGTGGGCACTGCCTGCTGCCGCGTTCTCCAGCGTCAGCTCAGCGGAACATGAGTAAGGGATGGGAATCCCCCTGCCTTTTCCAGTCGACGGGGGAGTGAAGGAGTGACAGAAGGTTGGTTTCATAGAAGCTGTATTTTAGAGACACATTGCTTTGCAACCTTTTCTATTTTCTGCATAAACACATATATAGATGTGGCTCTTCCTCCTGGCTTTTCTTAGCTCCTCATCAACCCAGATTTTTCTCAAAGATTTCCTCTACTTGCAAGCCTCAAATCCTTGTGGGAAGGTTTTTCTACCCTGGAGGGTTGGCAAAGCCAAAAGAATTGCAAAAC